TGAACCCCAGTCTCAGAGGTAGGAGGCAACAGTGCTAACCACTGCTCCACCATGCCACCCCAATCAGTACCTAACTAGAGTGATGAGTTTGCCCTACATCAGTGGGTTGGTTCTCCTGTCCATCAGACTGGCTTTCTATAGTCTTCATCAGAAGACTGTGTGCCTGGTCTGCACCAGTTGCATCTTGGCTCCACCTGCATCTGGACTCCATCTAAAGAGGATGCTTTGATATCCACCAGGGCGATTTCCAATGTGGTTCTATCCAGAATCGGCTAGGACATTCACTCCAGTTCTCAGACTCTCTCAGATGAATGTGTACTTGCTATGCTGTCATCTGCACAGAAAGGCTTGCATACGGAGACCCCACCAACTTGGTGAGCTGTAACGGATGTCTGTGGGCAGACATCACAATGAGCAAGCGTAAAAATATGTGCATCTGAGAACCTCTCCCTTCATTTCTTCTGCATTCCTCCCTCAGACCCTTCATCGCTGTGACAGCTGTGACCCACAATGCCATAGTGCTCTCATTTATACGCTCACAGCCCCCTGCCCACTCGGTTCAATATGAATCATGTCAAATACACGTTTTACCCACTACACTACAAACATATAAGAGAGAAATGCACACAGCATAGATAACACTATGCGCAGTGGCAGGAGTTCTGTCCAATAACAGCCACACTTACTGTGTTTGTCACATTATGATTGGTCAGGAAACTGGATGGGCGGAGTCACAACAGAACCCACCCTCACTATCACCTGTGCACATTTCTTAGGAAAGGAGCCTGTTCAAGAACAGGGGCTCTGATACCATGTCAAGCAGAATCAGGCCAAATTAAACGCATAAATACATACTGAAGAACAACGTAAAAACAAGACTGTAAAACAAAAAACTAAGATATTTGCTATTTAAATTGCACCACTGAATTTAAGTACGCATGTTACATATATTAACGAATGTTAATAATGCATTCATAGAGCATTTATAAGCAGAATGTAAGTATACCTTAACATCCTAACATACCTTGACAGCTTTAATATACACTAATAACAAACATTATGATTATATGATACAATAATTCTAAGTAAATGCACTGAATGTTTTATCAATGCATAATGAATGCATTATGAAGGTACAGTTAATGTGAACTGTTACTGTTAGTACACTCATACCCATTTCTACATGCTTTAATTCAGTGGTGCAGGTTGTTCTAGGAATGCATTATGAAGGTGTGGTTAATGTGAAGCATCCCCATACTAACTCACATACACTGGAGCTGTACCACAGGTCAGACATGCTAAGAAAGCATCAAAGGCAAAGTTGCCTCTCAGGCCGCAATACCGGCCAGCCAGATTCCATATTTCTCATACTGATGCGTTGCTCATCTGCCGAAGAACAAGGCTTCATGCTCAAACAGGCCAAGTATGAATGAGATACTGAAATGAGTGCTATGATGGAACCTGACGTGTGGCTTCGGGTCCGAGTGGCAGAGGAGACTATGCTGTTGTACTGTTAAGTGAGGCTCTTAACAGGCACTGCTTTGGTAAACATCTCACTGCATGCGTGAGCAAATGGCTGACTTTTTCACTAATACAACGACGCACCATACAACTGCAACTATAATATGCCTTTGGGGAGAGCAGCCCTACCCTGTATCCCTGTATCCCTGTGACCCGCTGTCCCAAAGTAGGCCACACTGATCGATTTCAATGAATAGCACAGCAGCAGAGAGAAACACATTTAGAGCCTGACTGGAAAAAGTGTGGCTGCGTCTGATATTTTTGTCGACTGGCTGATACAAGTTACGGTAATGCTTTACATTAACTAGACCTTCATAATGCATTTATAACACATTCATAGAACATTCGGTGCAGCTTCATAATGCATTCATAGAACATTCATAAGCAGCATGCAAGTATACCTTAACATGCTAATAAACCTCAGCTTTAATATACATTCATAACAAACATTATACGATATAATGATTGTTATTATCATTCATTTTCCAAGCTGAGTATCCTTCCGGACCATCTAGCTAGAGGCAAGAATAACAAGCATATCGTATAATGTATGTTAGGACATTAAGGTATACTAACATGCTACTTACGAATGTTCCATAAATGCATTATGAAGGTGCACTGAATGTTCTACAAATGCATTATAAAGGCATTATGAAGGTGTAGTTAATGTAAAGCATTACCCAAAATACTTGCTGATATATATGCACTGACTGGCCTATACGTGGCCCTTACTTATGCATAAGATGGGTGATGTAAGACACTTCCTGGTAGAATATTTATGATTGACCTACATGTGGTGCTTCTAGGTAAATGCAACATCATCCATCACCCTACCATTCTCACTACCAAACTCATCTTGGAGTAAATCGTTAACATTATCAATGACACAGTGGAAAAGTTGAACCTGGGATGGTTCAGGTCCCAGGAGAGGAGTTGCTGGTAGCCTACACCACTACTAAGCAAAACAAACAGTAAAATTTAAGTCGCTTATGCAAAAGTCATGCGTTTAACTACATCATTTTCCTGCACCGAGACATAAAAAGGGACACGTTTTCCAGGACAATGCAAAGAGGTGTGCCTGCCGTATGGATAACCTTTCCCCTATGCTCTGAGCTCAGCATGCAAAAGCTCAGTATGCAAAAACATACACTTTCCCTTCTATACCTTTCACGACTTCTTCAAAGCAGCAGATTAGCCAGTCTACTGTAACAAAGAGAAGCTGCTATAAGCGGGTATATATGACATTAGGCAATTAACAATGATGAACACAACCACCGTAGTAATTATTGACATATATATATATATATATGTAGTGCAGAATTTCAGTGTCACCCTATCTTTCACAAACAGAGGAAGTACTCCACCAAACTGCCAGGAAATTCATGGCTTGTATTCCAGGAGCCTGTTTAAAAATGCAAATGAGAATGAGTCAGTGAAAAGTTCCAATACACAACCTGATTATCAAAGGGTCGTTACATGCACACATCTGGCATTATCCCAGAAGCACTCCATCCCTCCATCCCTCCATCCATCCATTTTTCTGTAACCGCTTATTCAAGGTCACGGAAGGTCCGGAGCCTATCCCAGAGGCAACGGGCGCAAGGCAGGGAACAAACCAGGATGGGGGGCCAACCAATCACGGGCCACACTCACACCATTCACTTGCACATGCACACCTACGGACAATTTGGTAATTCTAATTAACCTCGGCATGTTTTTGGAGTGTGGGGGGGAGACCAGAGTACCCAGAGAAAACCCCATGATGACACAGGTAAGACATGCAAACTCCACACGCATGGAGCCATGCAGGACACATGAATTCTGGTGTCTGAGGTGCGAGGCAACAGTGCCAACTACTGTGGGACCCCCAGAAGCCGTCATTATATTATTTTCCAATAAAAGTCCCTTCACCCTGCCAACTGTACCCTATTACACAACACAACAGCATGTCATTATAAGAGGGGGAGCCCCTTGCACTTTAACCTCTCCTCTTCACCTCTGCAAAAAATCTAGAGAGCTACCATTCATTCTGTTCAACAACTTGAGGGAGGAACAACTTATCCTTGCCTAAAAATCTGTTAAATAAAAAAAGAGAACAAGTTGATTTTTTTATGGAAAGTCATCAGATAGGCAGTTGCAAGTGTCACCTGTTAGCTAAGCACATAAAACATACAAAGAAAATGACTGCTGCCCAAGTTACACATTAAATATTTCATAAACATGTTTTCCAAAGCAACGTATGTCTTTCCACTGTCACTCGTCTACAGAGAAGAATCAGTTAGTAGCATTTGAGGTCAGGTGCGTTGCTCAGGTGTGAGAATCCTGTTAACTAACCAGCAGAAAATCAGCTGCCAAACAGGCTCACATGGAAAGCATTAGTCAGTCAGACAATAGTGTTTCTGTGTAGACCCAAAAAGTAATTCTGCCACAGTTCAGAGTTACCGGATAAAAACCATACAATCCGATCATTCAGTAAACAGCTTTAAATTGTCCTAACTCCTCATGGGAAGGATGTCTCCGAAGTACCACTGACTACCCATTAAGTAATCCTGTCCAGGTCTGTTAGGTAAAGGACTAAAAAACAAAATCGTTTTGTGGATTTCAACAAATACGAGACCAACCACATGTGAGCCCCCCCCTCCCCCACCACCACCAACACCACCACTCCTGACTTTGTGGGTTCCTTTTTAGTGCACGGATGTTTGTCTACTCAGCCTCGACTACGACTCCTAATTAAGAGCCCAGCACTGTGTGTAAATAATGTGAATGTAAATTTTTTTAACACTTTTTTCAAATTGACTCATTTTTAACAGCATTTGAAATTCCCACAGAAGTTTTGTTTCCAAGCTATTGGCTCTGGCTTTCATTTTGAGGCTAGTGTTTCAAAACATTGAGGTCTACTGTGCTGGCAAGTAAGAAAAAACATAAATGCTAATGTATAATGAACGTGAAAATTATTTCATTGTAAATGAAAATAGTCGGTCACGCAACAAAAACGCCCGGCCCTATGGAGCAATTAATCGCGAATTGACGCTGCCGAATAATCGGATCAACAACATCACTATATTCTCTTTGCGCAGTTATTCTAGCCGTCTCACTCATACACACGCCTCTCATTTTTGCCATAAACACGAATATCTCAAAAAGAGAATGGCAATCGTGATAGTTACCCTGTACCAATTTGATTATCTCTGTGGACACATCTACACCATATAAGCATTTTCCTTTTAATAAAGGTCACATTGTTTAGTAGCATCACAAGCACAGAAAGTGGTCCTTATGTATTAATAATCGGAGTGATTATAATCACAGCGTAAATAGTGATGGGTTGTCCATTAAACGGTCACCGCGGAAACCGATGGACCTTTAAACATTCAAAAAGCCAGTGGCATGAAATTTAAGGACATTGGTATTTAAGGAAATCGACATTTTAACCTTTATTCAACTTCGCGCATCCTTCTGTATATCATACGACTTACTTTTCGTGATCTTTTGCAAGCCGAGGACATCCTCGGGAACTATTACGGAGTTGGAGAGCAATTCCTCTTCCGTGGTCGCCGGGACCCCCGAGTTCGGCGAGCTGCATCCCTTCTTCACTTTCATTGCCGCCTGCGCTTCTGGGCTCGGGTTCGCCTGACTGCCACGGGGTTGGTTGCTACTGGTGCCGCCGCTGTCTGCGCCGCAGCTGCTGCCAGGATTACTGCCACAAGGTGTCCTGGCGCTGGACGGATTCTGGCTATTGCAGACAGCCTCTCTGCTGGTACAAGAATAGCTCATCCTCCTCCTCCCTCCCAGGTCCACTAAGGTTAAAAACACGGCCTCTCTCCCTTCCTGACTCGAATTGCTTAATTAATGTCGCCCGTTTGCCCCGTCTAATTCTTGGGTTCCCTCTCTGCAAGGACAGCCCAGTCAATACAAGTGCAAGAGCTCAGGGTAAAGCGTTTCGGAAGCAGCGAGCGGCTGCGCTGTCTGCGCTCTTATCGGCAGGCTGACAATCACCGCGTCGCTTGGTTCCCTCCGGCGGAGGCATGACGTTGGCGGTATGGATTGGTATAAAGGGAACTACAGCTCACGCTTGTCAGTCACATGCTGTGACAGGGATTCATATTTTTAACAATGAGGAATTTCCAAAAAATTTGGTGATTTCCAGGTATCTACGTTGGTAAATCTGACATTAGTGTATTAAAGCATCACCCCTCGGAAAACTGTGGTACAACCCAGTCTGCTCGATTTGCAGGAAGCGAGAACAAGTGGTTTAAAAAAGAAAAACGGGTTACGCCGCTTCATAATGTTCCAGACGCCTGCTGTGTAGGAAGTGCACTCTCCCCTTCTGACTTTCTCTCTCAGGCGTATAATTAAAGCCATTTACCTATCAACGTGTAAAATAGTCGTTTATAACTGGCAGGGGGATATTCCCTTCCTCTGACCTACGTTCATTCATTCATTCGTTCTTTGACTGGACACACTGATACTTGTTCTTCTGTTACATTTCTTGTATAGTCCATCTACATAGTGATATGATTGATCATAAATAAATATATTGGTTCCAGACTTCAGGCAGTCATTTATTAGAAATGATTTGCAACCAGGTATTAAATATGGCAATATTCCTTAAGATAATGCTAATTTGTCCAAACACTTTTGGTCCCTTAAAATGGGGATGTCTATGTATAAAAACGGTTGCAATTGCCGCGCAATTTACCCAGAATAGCTGCTCATACCCTTAAATTAAAGTTGGCAGTCTGCACTTCAAGCCCGAAATAGGAGTTTCATTACAAATTCATTGCGATACAGAGACAAAATAAAAATAACAAAAATCTCACAGTCTAAATACTTATGGATGGCACTGTACTGTATGTGATGGACAATTACATCACCATATTACGTGTAAGAATTAATGGGCATGTGATTCACTTACTGAGGTTTTTATTCATGCAATAAATGCATGAATGATGTATGATGGGATCTAAACTCACAAACTGCTGGCAACACGCGTAGTTCTTTAATCACACAACCATCCCTCTTGCTTCCCAGTTCTGTTTTGTCTCACTCTTCTTCACAAGCCTACCATCTATACAATGAAGCTGAACTGATCTTTTCCCAAGGGGACTAATTATATTGAATCACACTGACTATTGTGGGCCGTGTACTTAAATAATTGTTAAAGAGAATATATAATGGTTAACAAGAGGGCCATAAAATAATAAAACTAACTTGAAGGCTATAGTTGATCAATAAAATCCAGCATTCATTTTGGAAATTACATTATATATTACTACAACAGGGGTGGCCAATCTTATCCAGAAAGGAGCCTTGGGTTTGGAGGTTTTTGCTGCAACTCCCTAATTAGATTACTAATTAGAAGACTCATTGACTGAAAAGTCTTCACACCTGGGTTTGAATAGCTGATCGACAGGTTATCCCAAAACCTGCACACACACTGGTCCTTTAAGATTGGCCACCCATGGACTACATTATATAAGAATTACTTTATATGTGATTACACTATGTATCATTTGATTACATTATATATTACAGGAAATGAAAAAATCAAGTGATGACAGAAATGAGGACTGTGACTGACTGATATATCTGTTTTGATGTTTATTTCAATTTGTGAATAATAAATTTAAAAGCTAAACCTAGACAACCGTTTTCTTCTACAAATATCAGGATCCCTGAGGAAATAGACAGATTGGAAAGACTCTCTGAGATCAGCCAGTCGCAGAGTGATATGCTTCTCCTTTCTGGCTTGTCCACTTAAAAAAGATTTCTTTTTGTGGTCAGCCAATCACAAACTGGAACACTGCAGTCTGAAGCCTTTGCCACAAACAGCCATTCAACAACATGGTAGCCCTGTGGCCTCTGATGATGACACCTGTCTTTTGTGACCTTTGTGAAGGACACGGCAAATTGGGAAGGTGGTAGAAGAGTCCCCAGATTATAGCGAGAGAAATGGTCCCTCGCTGTGTGTTTGCTGGGATGTGCTACCAGGCTGCTGTCCCCTTAACAGAAATGTTTAAGGCATATAGAGATGGTCAGAATAGAAAAAGGTAAACAGAATTACTTCTTAATAAAACATAAGCTGAATAATCCTCTTTACTAATAATAAACCTCATCCTGAAGCATCCTGCTTTTTTTTAAGGGTAGAAGAGAACGTGTTACAGAAAATGTTATAAATATTGTAAGTGATGGAGCAGACAACTATTCAGTGTGGTTCACTGAATGACAATAGTGTAGCAGCCAATCAGCTGCAGGCATCTGCGGCATCAGCTCGCCCCCTCCCTTAAAGTGGCAGTACTGGCACGTGGTGGCTTTTGGGAGTGCGTCTCCCACCAGGCTCTATGCTGTCATGTCAAAGTAGCCTCGCCGATGAGTCATCATGTCACGCACACGCCGGATGGCCTGGATCTGGGGGTGCCGGGCGCCCCATTCACTCCAGTTCTTGTAGGCACCATGTTCAAACACGTACTGGTAGCCACGGTAACCGGGGTATTGGTACCCCACCCATCTGCAAATGGAAGTAGAAAAGGAGGAGGATTAGAAATGACAGTGATTGTCAATCACACCCTTGAGAGATTAAGGGAATTATATTTCGGGAAATTATTATGAATGAATAATGTATTTAATAATCAAGGAAAATGCTTTGCATGAGACAGCTTGCATAATTTTCTGCTGGTCCCATATGTGCATCAGATTCTGACATATGTGCAAACTTCATAGATAAATGTAAGAAGCAGATCTCTTCCAAAAGGGGTCCAGCGTCCCCATGTCCTCAGCTGAGCAATCACGTAAAGGCAGAGTGTAGCCTGCAGGGGGCGCAGGTCCGGACGGGACTCACGTGCCGCCGGTCACTTCAATGCTGGCCACATGGTCTTGGAAGCCATAGGACCACAGGCTGGGGATATCCTCGTCACACACCTCCATCTTACGGCCCTCGAAGCTCCTGCACTCAAAAAGACAGATCCTGTGGTCCTGGGGGTCCTGTGCAGAAACCAGGGTGGGTGTTTGAGGTGGAAACAAAATCCTGAAAGGTATAAAACAGGTGCAATGTGGACAAACAAACCTCAGACACACAATGTTATGGACGCTAAAGGCTAAGCTAGATGGTAGACTCTCATATATGCCTATATATAGCGATACAGCTGGACACACCAGGTGAAGAAGCATGAGGACGGTAGGACTCACCATGCGGACAGGTCTGACCGACATCAAGCAGTCACTGCAGTAGCTGTTGGACCAGCAATCCCAACGTGGGTACTCGCCTTTCTCCAGTATGAACATCTCCCCCAGCATGTTCTCCAGCTCGTAGCCCACCCAGCTGTGTAACGCACAGTGACAACCAATCAGTACTGAGTAATATTCGGAACTTGCATAAGACTCAGAGTCAACCAATCTGTAATCAGTAATGCTCAAAACCAGTCCTTGGATGTGAAATATGCAATATCTCCAAATCAATAATGAATATTACAGAGATATTCACGTGGAGGTACTCCAAGTGTGTTCAGGTCTTTCACATTGATGTACAGGAAGTGTATGTAGTTTGGAAGCAGTCTCCTTGTCAGTTTGTGAGTCTGGGACAATATAAAGTACTCACACTCCACACTCGACCCGAATGGAGCGGATCCTGTCCATTCCGCGGTCACACAAGTTCCGACACTCACTGTTCAGCTCCATGCACCGGCCTTGGTAGTTTTCATACTGAAACAGGCAGATCTGGGGCGACATGAGTATAGGCTGAGCATGTGAACTGGTATTTACTGGTTGCCATAAGACCACACCATCTATGTGCAGACAGTTTATCTTATATTATAATGCAGCTGTGGCAAGTCTGCGCAGATGACAGAGACCTACCTTGTAGTTGCGCAGCCCCATAGAGGCAGTGCGACTACCTATGCTCCCTTGAACAGCAGTGTGAGCCATGGTTCAATCTGTGAGGGGGACGACTTCAAGGAAACATAGCAAAATGTTTTGATTGAGGGGAAAAAAAATGGTAACACATACTTTCATAATGCATTATAATGGTTGGTATAAGCATTAAGGATGCTTTGTATTGGATTATGAAGGTATCTATAGTGCATTATAGATGAAAGCTTCATAAAGCATTCATAATGCATAATACACATGCCTATAATGCCTTATGCCTTTTAATAAATATTTGTACCCATGTTTATAATGCTTTATAAAAGCATTATGATGTATTATGAATGTGTTCATAGATTATTATAGACTTGACATTCAGAGAAAGTGTTGCTAAAAAATAATTTAAGCTACGTTTTTAGTACCATGTCTACGGAAAAAGTTGCATTTTGATCAAAATGTCTGTCAGAATTTGCCATGGTGTTGAACCCTGGTTCCGATTCAGGAAGATACTCAACCCTAGCCCTAGCATTAAGCTCAACCCTAACCTGAACCTGAGTGCTAACTGTAACGTTAACCTTAACGTAAGACCTAATGCAGCTGTTGTAACCCTACTTGACCAAAACCCTACTCAGACCTGACGCCATTTAAGGAAATTTGCACCATCTGAAACTATTTCGTTTCCTCTTTCCTGCAAAACGAGGTCTCTCAGCATGGCATACACATGAAGTGTGATGCCATGGGGCATGTCTTCACAACGTGAACAAGCTGACACACCCTATACATACACTTCTGTCCATCCTGAGTCCAGTAGGAATCTCACCTGAAGGTTGCCAGCACGTGTGGGGGAGAGGGGACCAGGGTACAGGATTCTGCCCTTATCCCGGCCTTAAATATACAAATTTAACCCCCCCCCTCACTTGGATTGGATGACAGGGAGAGATACTATGGGGGCCTGGCCTTTCCTCCAGCCTCGCTGACTCTGCATCCCTTTGTCCTCATGTTTGCTGAGCTGCAACCTGGATCAGCGAATCCCCCCCCGTGTCCTTTTCCAGCGTGAGACAGGGGGGGCTCACGCAGGCCTGCATGTGAGTACAATGTGCTGACCTCAGGAGCCGTCTCTGCCACGTCCATTGTGCGAGTGAGGCCGCTTTGTGTGTGCGCACTGGCCCTCATTTGCTCTGCCCCCAGCTGCCGCTCTAACACACAGACTGTGAGGTCGGGGCCCGAGATGTTACACCATGCGGTTTAACATGCCGAACATGCTGAGAGGCAGCGGCACCTGCGTTGTTTCGCCTGAAGTGCTTATTCCAGCGCACATGCTCAGTTAGGGTTTTTAATTTGCTGTCGCTGCTAGGGAACAGGGCACCGATCTTGAGTAGATTAGCTGAATTTTTCTCAGTATTGAGGAGTGGAAATGAGAAACTGTAAAATACATAAGCTGATCTGGATGGGGCTTATCTGTTTATCGCTTCCGTGGAGGTCCTACCTAGATCACACTTTATCGAGATTTCTGACACTTTTTATTTCCTTCTGAGTACTTCCTTTATCTTTTGTATTCTGCATTTCTGCGTGTTTCAGTTCTACTCCTCTTAAACCAACAGTCAGAACATTTTTTTCTTAGCTGAGGACTTACATACCAGCTCCAACTAAACCACTTATGATTAAGCCCTTGATTATTTGAATCACATGTATTACGGTAAGGCTGGAACGAAAAACAACACTGTGTCTGCCCTGTCTGGCTCCTCCACCTTGAACTTCTCCAGACCATCTTGTATATCCTAGGATATAAACTATTATACATGAAACTTCTACTGCCTTCAGGTTATATTCATAAATCAGGGTTGCCAGCTTTCACGCATCTGGTGTGACTGTCATGCTTTCAGACTGTCACGTTCACGCAAGAAATCTTGCGGCACATTCTGTATTATTCCACTATAAACCTAAAATTAGGTACATCAAAAGCATTGGGGTCATTTGCAAACCCTACAGACTATTTACAAGGTAATGTAACTGTTACATACATGTAAATGCGTGTGCAGACTTGTCTCAAATTGAAAATTTCACTCCAACTAGCTGACCAAAGCTGGCAACCCTGACAAATTCTAGCCTCATTTGATTCGTATACCTGTGCGCTGCCATGACATCATAACCAGGGGTATTTTACTTCCAGATCCCATCTAATAACATCCACAGTTTAGTGAATAACTCCATGTACTATTTGACAGTACTTTGTGAAAAAGGGGATCCTTATTATTTAGCTGTCTGGCAGAGATTCCCTCTTTAAGTGCTTTTAGAGAGAGACCAATGTTAAACCACATTTACATTTAGGGAATAAAATCCACCTTGTCACTCTTGTACCCAGAGCCGTCGCTTGGATCTTAAGACATCTAGGGCTTATCCCAGAGCCCTAATCTGTCTGAGGGTTCTGTCTGAGGCATGGTTATTAAAACATCAGAGCTAAGCAATTATCCAGGCCTTGTTCAGATTCTGTTCCAGGCTCGTGACAGATCTGCTAACACTTGGAGGTGTTTTCTGCTCATTTCTCACAAGAATACTGCCAATAAAAGACCCTGTGGTTTTGAATGTTTGTATCTGCAGATGGGTGTTACATATAGACACATAAAAGCCTGTTCAAAATTGGCTTAAGTGTTGAGGGGAGTCCCCATTAATGCTCATGTGACATACAATGTGTAAACGGACTGCCTTCTGAAAACAGTTTGATTCTTAATGTTTCACACAGAGGAGCTGTCGCAGCATTTTTACATCAGTATTTATTTTTTTTCTTACCTGATATTTCTTGCTGTTTTCTTGGCTTCTCATGGACATAACACATGAAAGCACATTCATTTATTTTCCTGATGTCATTAATGATGTTAATCTGCCCCCTCCAACTTGTCCTGTGTTTATGTATATATGTAGCACTGAGGTCTGGGGAGAGTTATTTTGTGCCACTGTAAGCTGTGTTACTGAATATGGTTGGCGTAACAGATAAAGTCCCACTTGACTTGACTTGATTGACTTGAGATTGTTTTCTCCTAGAACCATGTGTCCTGATTACGGAACCTTCCCATCTCCAACACTGTGAGCCCCTCTCTCTTGTGCTGGGGGATCTACCCTAAACCCTAAGGCTCAGCTGGGAACAATGGGCCCCACAGCAATGTGCTGACTGCAGCCCAGCCACACCCAGCCCGGGTATATATACCCTAACGGTGCTGGTGGCTAGAGACCACTGCGTGGGAGTCTCTGACGAACAGACTTTTTATTTGGTAGTTCAGGTAGGCCCACCCCCCCCCTCCGGGTTTCACTAAATCTTCCCGGCTCAGTAGTCGCTTCCCTCTGGAGGGGGAAGCATGTTCCAATCCAGCCGCAGATACCTCTACAGCGGCTGGGTCTGATCTGTAGGGTTCGTCTCAGTGACAGCGGGGGAATATGTGGTAGCGGAAGGATGACAGCCTCACGCTCGTGTGTTTGTGCCACGACACCTAAAAACACGTGGAAGGCTGAGAGGCACCTGGGAACAAAGGTCGTGTGGCTCTGGCGTGGAAGAGAAACGAAAAACCACGCGACGTGAATGATGAGACGATTCCTGATTCTGTTGTCAATTGTATTTGCTGTCTAATTTAAGAATGTACCATAAAATCCATTATCAGATCATCTCTGGAGATTACACAAAGAGACAAAAGCTTGTCCACATCTCTTTATGTGGCCCACAGATCAGTCATCATAGTGGTACCAGATGGCCCAGACCAACCCCACAAACACCAGCATGAGTCCCATGGGGCCGTTCAAGGTGAGTGCCCTTCCTCCACCACACACACACACACACACACACACATACACAACTTCCTTAAAACTGCTGCCAGGGGTCCCACACAGAGGCATGCTGAGATCACCAGGTGCATTAAGCACCGCATGTTCCGTACATCTCCTTCCAGATCACCGTCTACGACCAGGAGCACTTCCAGGGCAGACGCATGGAGTTCACTGCAGCCTGCCACAACATCATGGAGTGTGGCATGGACAACATCCGCTCCTTCAAGGTGGAGTGCGGCGCGTGAGTTCCCAATCGCAGCGGGAGGGCCACTGTGTTGCCCTGCCTCACCGGGCTTGGGGGTCGGGGGGGGCGATCCCGTTTCACCGGCCTGCCGGCTTGTCGCTCTCCGCAGCTGGGTGGGTTACGAGCACTCCAGCTTCTGCGGGCAGCAGTTCGTCATGGAAAGGGGGGAGTATCCCCGCTGGGAGGCCTGGAGCGGCAGCAACGCCTACCACATAGAGAGGATGATCTCCTTCAGGCCCATCTTCTCTGCGGTGAGCATCTCATCGCCTTTATCCTGCTTGCCACCAAAAACAAAAGGAGCCGCAGGGCTGGTTAGGGAGCTGAAAAATCAAATGAAACTGAATACATTTACATTAAGTGGCCAAACACCTTATTATTCTAAAATCACAGATTCTATGTAAATGAATGATTGTGGCTCTTTTGGTAACACTTAAAGCACCCATGGTATACTGACCATTACAATGCATTATGAAGGTATCTATAATGAATTAGAGATAAGGGCTTCACTGGAGCTTATGAAGCATTGTAATCAACACTATAATGCCTTATAACTATCAAAAGAAGATGCTGCAATACTTTATTAATTCTTATACTGAGCATTATTATGCAGTATGAAGGCAAATTGTAGATGACAGCTTCACAGAGCATTCATAAGGCATAATAAACATGGCTATAGTGTGATATGCCTTTTTATAAACAGTTATAGCCACGTTGATAATACTTTATGGATGCATTATAATGCATGATGACTGCTTTAACTAAAGTGTTACTGCTCTGATTTTGCCATAAGAGGTAATACAGACCTTTCTGCCTAGCCATATGTGACATGCTGGATAATCCACTTTTCTTTGTTTGGGAGCAGTGTCATAAGGAGTCTAGGATAATTGCGTTTGAGAGGGAGAACTTCATGGGGAGGCAGTTCGAGATGTGCGACGACTTCTCCTCCCTGCAGGCCATGGGCTGGTGCAACAACGAGGTCGGATCCATGCAAGTCCAGAGCGGAGCGTAAGTGCTCATTTTCAGGCGTGACGTTTGGCAGACATCCAAAGATGCTCAATGACCAATGTTCAGGGAACCTGGAACCATTCTAGAATATCTACCACATTAAAAGATTGATAATGATGTGTGAGTGTGCATGGAAATAGGCTGGCGCCCCTTCCTGGATTATTCCCCGCCCTGTGCTCATTGTTTCCATGATAGGCTCCGGATCCCTGCGACCCTGCAAAAGACAAGCAGGGATGGAAGATGAATGAATTAGAAAAGTGTTTCCCAATCCGGTCCTCGGGGACCTGCAGTCGGTCCATGTTTTTGCTCCCTCCGAGCTCCCGTTAAGAGAGCAAAAACGTGGACTGTCTGTCAGTCCCCGAGACCTGGATTAGGAAGCAATGAATTAGAAGATTTGTGGCAGCCGTGGGATTTATCTGAAATCCCACATTATGCAGCCCAGTATGTTTGTATGGAGGTTTGCATCAGAGAGGCTACATTGAATCTTTTCTCTCATAACCCCCTTCACCAGGTGGGTGTGCTACCAGTATCCTGGCTACCGTGGCTACCAGTACATCCTAGAGTGTGACCGGCACGGAGGCGGGTACAAGCACTATAGGGAGTACGGCTCCCACGCCCAGACCTTCCAAATCCAATCCATCCGCCGCATTCAGCAGTGAGCGGATTCCCCGGTCCCCCAGTTCATCCCTCCTCCTCCTTTGCCTCCCACTCTATCATCCTCGCTACACTGGCCCACTCCAATCACTGGGGCCAGCGGCTCTATGACCTTGGGGAGCACAAGTGTCCTCAGTCCAGCACCTAGCTACCCGTCTCACAGCACCGTTTGTATGAAGGTGATCAATAAAAAGAATGACAGAAAAAATCTTCAGCAAATGAGTGAAGCTTATGTCTTTTTGTGTCCCTGTATCCTGTTCCATTCATCTACACTGAGCAATGACCACAAAAAAAAATATTTACAGTAACTCAACAGATGGTACACTTTAGTGTTTGGTACCCTGCAGCAATTCAGACTTAGTCATTTCATTTTAATCTTGAAGAAGTTCTCCAGTGTTAGGATCCTTTTCATTCGCATCACCCTTTTCATGCAGAACTCTGAGTGATAAGCCACTGTCATGAATATTCACGCTTCTTGTTTAATTATTCATGAGAATCCCTGTAATTGGTTAAGATCAAACAACTTCTGTTGCCTAGCACCCACCGGTACAGCTAACGTAATAGTTCTGAGAGCATGACAGCACCTCCAAAACCAGAATCTTCCGGCCTGCGATGATTTAACAAACCACAGCATCCATCATTCTTGAATTCTGTGATGCTACAGGATAGTAAAGAATACTTAAGATTAATACAGAAAAATTAGTATATTTGTATACAAGTCATTTAACTCTATCTTTTATTCTTCCATTCATTTATGTGACCAGAGCATAATTGTGGGATAAAAAAATACAGATGTCCAAAATATCCTTTATAATCTGCCAGACCCATACACCCAGCAGAAATCAGTTCCAAAACAAAATATGCAAAACTTAATTAGTGATAACATCATTACAATTACAGATTTAGTCATACAGTTGTGTCATTAAGCTTAGCCACAGGCTATTCTGCAGAGGCTCGAACCAGCAACCTTCCAATCACATGCACAACCCACTGAGCCACACACACACACACACCCTAAAACACAGTATCCCCCCACTGGGAATCAAACCCCATTCTCCTGTGTGACAGGCAGGGACAGTAACCGTTACACTAATAAGGAGCTACAAAGTTGATGCTGTCATTATTGTCTAATGTTATTATTTATTGACATTCTTTTTAAATGCCACTATTAACTGACAGTCTGCAGGAGGCATGCAAGTACTAAGTATTTAATCTCAGTTTTAATCTTACATAAGTCGATGAACTTGAACTGCATCTGCTTGTTGAAAAATAAAATTGTCACCACTAGAAGGCGCTAAATTCACTCCTGTACATCCGGTGTCCGCAATAAGCCCTGCAGTCACGCTCCACAGCAAGCGATACGTCGAATTGACAATACTTGAACAAAAAGCAGTGCCTTCAGATTTAACTGGGGTCATAGACACCCCTCGGACAAGTGTATCTGGAGACACTACATACAAATAAGTCACAGCCTTTGTAACACCTAGCACGGTGTTTCCCAGTCCGGTCCTCGGTGACCCACAGTTGGTTGATGTTTTTGCTCCCTCCAGGCTCCCTCCCAGACAGTCCACATTTTTTCTCCCTCAAGGCACAAAAACATGGACTGTCTGTGGGTCCCTGAGGACTGGATTGGGAAACACCGACCTAGCATATGAAAGGACCACTGGTTGATCCCAACAATCTTAGGAGCTATAAACACACTAAATATATTAACCAGATTATGCTAATTTTGCTAAGTACTCTGGCTAGGATACACTAGCCATACCAAGCATACTACTAACTCAAACACATTCATTGGCAAAGTGTATCACCATGGTGAATGGTGAAGGGTAATTCCCAGTAGGTATCAAATGGGATTGCTCATTCTACAGCTCTGATTCAGCCAAAAATATGAGCATCAGAAGATGATGTATAACGATTGGCCTGTCTACAAGGGTCAACTGCTTGCTTCATATAAACAGTGAAGAACTCCTTCTGCTGTTACTATGGAAACAGCATGTCCAGGCTACTCTCTCGATTACACTGACTCCTTGTTCCCAGACCTCAGACAATAACTTGATATTTATGTGAGTTCAGACCCACAACCTTGGTTAAAGTATAGAATCTGGAATGCTGTAACATTAAAAGCAGACTGGTATCCCACTGGTTGTGAAATTATAGCAATGCTTTGCTGTCCTCTATAGTATATTTTAACAATTCATGATAACAAAAGCATGGTCATCTACCTACTGGAATTCTTCATAAAAATTAGGTTAATTAAAATCCATGTTAGTGCCAGCTCATGTTCAGAATGCGGAATCACTTTCAGTCTTTAAATCTCGACTCAAGACCTATTACAGGGGTATTCAACTAAAATTTAAAGAGGACCAGTTCCCGAAAACTTCTCGAAGCAAAGGTCCGGAAGATCATACTGTCTAACTATTT